GGTAACCAATGTAACTTAAACAGAATTGGCGTGATGTGTTCTCTAGCGGCCCCACCACTCACCATCCGCACAGCTCGATTCTGGATGAGTTGCAGTCGCTGGACCATCTTCAAAGGCAGCCCCACGTAGAGCGCATTGCAATAATCTATACGAGATGTTACCAGTGCATGTGTAACTGTCATGAGACTTTGCTCATCCAGGTAGGGCCATAGCTGGTACAATTTCCGCAGCTGAAGGAAGGCGCCCCTGGCCACCGAGCCCAGAGCTAGACTGGGGTCCAGGAGCACCCCCAGACTGTGGACCCTGCCCCTTAGGAGGAGTGTAACCCCATTCAGGGCAGGGAGATGGCCCTCCAGCCTGTCTGGCGAAGCACCCACTAACAGCACTTCCGTCTTGTCTGGATTGAGTTTCGATTTATTAACCCTCATTCAGTCCATTATCAAGTCCAGACACGAGTTCAGCACAGAAACCGCCTCAACCACAATGGTAGACTAATAAATCCATTTGTCTTTAAACTACTGTGGTATGTTGCTCTTTTCTTGCCCTCTCTTTATTTTTCCCAATATTCAAAGTTTTTAGCTTGGACAATAAGATCCCCCATATTGGTGCCAACTGGCAAAAGAAAGGTACTGGACACTCATTGAGCATTAAAACCATGCAACACAATAAAATCAAATGTCCTCTTCTTCATAAAGACCCCCTCATCTTGACACTTGCCTTCCCACCTGGAGGCCTAGAGAAGCATAGCAATGCCCTAAGACTTTGGGTACGGGACGTGGTGGCACTGCGGGTTAAACTTAAAACTTTGGCTAGGGGACGTGGTGGCACTGCGGGTTAAACCACAAAAAGCCTCTGGACTGTAAGGTCAAAAGATCAGCAGTTCGAATAGCCTCTCAGCTGTAAGTTTGAAAGATCAGCAGTTCGAATCCACGCAGTGGAGTGAGCTCCTGTCGCTTGTCCCAGCTCCTGCCAACCTAGCAGTTCAAAAGCACGTAAAGATGCGAGTAGATAAATAGGTACCACTACAGTGGGAAGGTCACGGCGTTCTGTGTCTAGTCGCGCTGGCCACGTGACCACGGAAACTGTCTACGGACATGACGCTGGCTCTATGGCTTGGAAACAGCGATGAGCACCGCCCCCTAGAGTTGGACATGACTAGACATTTGTCAAGGGGAACCTTTACCTTTACCTTTTAAAGACTTTGGCTAGTGCCCCAAAGGTCAAGGCAACACTACTTTCACCAGCTATTAACATCAGTAATGTTCCCTTACACGGTGCATGTCTTTGTGCACGTGTGTGTATGCATGTGCATGCTCATCTCTGTAGTTTGGTATACCGACATGGGCCAGGAAGAGATGAGCATGGTTTAGAAAATCAGCCCACTCTTATGGTCCTTGTGCATGAAAGGAGCGATACCTTTGCTTTTTGCTTCCACATTTCCGGCATTGCAAATGGCTGTGGTCAGCTCAAACTCTGCCCAAACCCCATTATTTGTGTCACCACAATTTGCCTCCCTGTCAGATGCTCTCTGTTATGTGCTGGAACAGGGAACAGTGGTGATTTTTAGCAACGAAAGGCTCAGCTGCACTGACAATAAAATCCATGTTCTGCTGCCAATAATAATAATAATAAAACATACATTTAATTGTACAAATAAGGTACATGCATATGTGGACTACTATGCTAGGGGAGTGACTTTTTCTGCCCCCCCGCCAGAAGTCCATTTATTTTGAGGCAGAGTCCAATGAATTGATCCCACATATGTGAATGCTGCTGCTCCATGTTTCTTTGGTTTTTTGAGAGCCCCCAGCCAGCCAGCCAAGCCAAACCTGCCTTCCATTGCCTTTCAGCCCCTCCCACCTTCCTCACCTACTGCCCTCTTCCCTCAACCTCCCTCTTCTTATCACCCTCTCCAAATCCTTCCTGTTTTCTATTCCGTTCAGTCACCTGGCACCACCCTCAGCTGTTGCCCTCTCCACCCACTCTCTTTGCTGCACTCTTCTGCATTTCAAGTCCTTTCTTGTCCTGGTTGCAGTCTAGAGCCAACATGATCTCTTGCAGCACTGAGAGTTTTGGCATCTTCCTCTCCCTTTGCTGGTACTGAAAAACTGCCGTAGAGAGTTCCCCAGCCCTCAGGAGCAGTTTTTCAGGAAGTGTTGGCAAATGCCTTCTGTGGCTGATGAGGGTGGGGAAGAAAACACAGCAATTACTGGTCGGTGAAGCCAGCTTGAGAACTTGCTGTTAGTGCTGCTTCACTCTTTTGTTTCATCTCTCTTACACATGCGCACACACACACACATTCACATAGAATGGGCCTGGAAGTTCAGCATAGCAGGATGTAGTGACTCTAATTTTTATGGAATGGCAGTGAATCCATTTGGGCTTTTAATCCAAACTATCCCAAAATAGGGCCAGCACCTTGGAGAGTTCCTTTGAAGTTCAGACTAGAGTCTGCAGTGGATTTCACCAACCCTGGGAAACTGACTTCCCAGACTCCAATGGGGGCAAAGACGTATTTGTCCTAATGGACTAACCACCATTAATTTTAGGGTTTTTAGATGGCAGAGGGCTGCTGCACAACTATAGGAAGGAGAAGGGATCGCACCTCCACTGGCCTTACATGCAAAAGCTGCTTATGTGAGAGCAATTATAGTGACGGGTATAATTTCTACTGGGTTGTGGTTAATTTCCCAATGAGCAAAATAGATCTGTGCATATTGTATATAATTTTTAACCCTCTGAATTAAAACAAAATGTACTGTGGTTTTCTATGTCTTGTATTTTCCCCAAATGCAGTACAAGCCTCAGAAGTGTCTGAATTTTGGCCGCAGGTTATGCTTTGCCCCACAGTGAGCCTCGTGGGGGGGGGGGGGG